GGATTGTTTATATTCAAAATAAGCATAGAATGGTGGAATATAATCTAGGCTTTTAGATAATTTGTTTCTTTTTTTACATATTTCACCTACTTATGTAGAATAATATTTTGTGGAGTTAGGGATATTAATAGTAGTTTACTTTTAGTTGAATAGTATCCTGGGATAAGGTTTGGGAAGTCCGGGGGGTGGGGGGTGGGGGATGGGGTTTTTTGCATTGTGATGTACTTGTGATGTGTTTTTTTTTTTTATGATAAAAATAATAAAAATTTATATTTTGAAAAAATATTTGTATCCCCGTTCTCAGGACAGATCCAGAAGGAGTGAAAGGAGTGGATGTGGGGACTCAACACCGGCAGATTCTGCTCGTCACATCATTCCTATACTTTCTGTGGAATGCCTGTGTGCAACATTTGTTCTCTACAAACACTATTTTTACAAATACTTTGCTCCTTCAGGTAACACCTAAGAGGTTTGGAAATTAATTAAACTGATGCTTAAAACTTACCAGGGCAACAGCAGCAGGACAGACTGTCCACTACACTGAGGAAAGCAAGTGAGTTGTGGCCGTCCTCTAGGAGCATAATGAGATGCTCAAGACAAGGAATGCTTGTGGGATCTGCCCCACAGACTATCCTGAAATGTGTGGGGAAAGTCAGTTCTCAGAGTGGAATCGATTAAATCAAGGTGATATATAGGCTTTATTATGTCATTAAAACGTTTATTATCTCATTAAAACAATCACATAATTTGCAATGGGAAATGCTTTTTCTTTTTGGTGACTTGCATTCCCACCCTGCCCAATCTTCTTCATTTATGAGAGAAGTTTTCTTCCCTGTTTTATTGCATCTTTTGATTTCCAAAGGAAAACAGGCACAGGAAATAACCTCAGCTCCATTACCTATACTAATTTGAGATCTTTTTATCTATGAGTATCTATGCTTACACCATCTATTGCTTATGCATTGTCTCTCACACTTATGAATATATGAATATATAAATATGCCTCCCTTTGATGGGTGGAGTCTCTCCCAATATTCTTTGGAGGAAGTCCCACCAGCACGTGCTAATTAATAAACACTGAAGTAAG